ATGTGAGATCTTAAACACATAGAAAAGATATCACTACAAAGATAACTTTTAGACAACGAACATCCTTTTTTTTTTTTTTTTTTTTTAATTTTCTTTTGAGAGAGAGAGAGAACGAACTCCATTTTCTGGTTCACTCCCCAAATGCCTGCAATGGCAAGGGCTGGGTTTGGACTGGAGCCAGGAATGCAATCCAGTTGTCCCATGTAGGTGGCAACAATCCAGTTACTTGAGCCATCCTCACTGCCTTCCAGGGTCTGCACTGGCGAGAGGTTGGAATCAGGAGCCAGAGTCAGGAATCAAACCCAGGCACTCTGATGTAGGACAGGAGTGTCTTACCCACCAGACCAGATGCCTGCTCAAGACCCACTTGTTAACAATAATGGCAGCCAGAGGACAGTGAATAATAACTTTAAAATGATGGGAGAAATAACTGCCAACCTAGAATTTCAAGATTGGAGTTTGAAACAGAGGCAAGCTGTCATCAACAAAAGCCTGAGTTTACCCCCAGCAGGCCGACAGAAAAGGAAATTCTAGGGGCCAGTGCTGTGGCTTAGCAGGTAAAGATACACCCTGCATATGGGCCCTGGTTCAAGTCCAGGCTGCTCCACTTCTAATCCAGCTCTCTGCTATGGCCTGGGAAAGCAGCAGAAGATGGCCCAGGTCCTTGGGCCCCTGCACCCACGTGGGAGACCCAGAAGAAGCTCCTGGCTCCTGGCTTTGGATAGGCCCAGCTCCAGCAGTTGTGGCCATTTGGGGAGTGAACCAGCAGATGGAAGACCTTTCTCTCTGTCTCTTTGACTCTGTCTCTCTGTAACTCTGGCTTTCAAATAAATAAATAAATCTAAATTCTAAGTGATTTCTTTAGTACTTCAGGAAGAAGAAAAATGACGCTCCAAGCCATTTTGGGATGCAAGGTCTAACTTCCACAACCCCAAACGTGCCTATGACAAAAGCAGAGGATTTTTTATTAAAAAAAAGAAAGGGGAAATCCATTTGCTTAATGTGCCCTGCCCTGGGGAGAGAGCATTTGGCAATGGCAGATCATTTATCTTGATATATTCAAAACCAAGTACAAGACAAGCCCTTGTAACAGATCTTCAAGGTGTGTTAATGTGTTAATGGGTGTTGGGTTTGGCTAGACTATGGCTTGTTCTTTTTTTTTTTTAGCTGCGATGTATTGGTAGGCAGAGTTATATATAGAGAGAAACAGAGAAAAAGGTCTTCCTTTTCCGTTGGTTCATCCCAAAAATGGCCGCCATAGCTGGTGCTCTGCACCAATCCGAAGCTAGGAGCCAGGTGCTTCCTCCTGGTCTCCCATGCAGGTGCAGGGCCCAAGCACTTAGGCCATCCTCCACTGCCTTCCTGGGCCACAGCAGAGAGCTGGCCTGGAAGAGGGGCAACCAGGACAGAATCCAGCGCCCCAACCGGGACTAGAACCCAGTGTGCTGGCGCTGCAGGCAGAGGATTAGCCAAGTGAGCCACGGCGTCAGCCTGGCTTGTTCTTTAAGATCAATCTTGAAAGCATACTAGATACTACTAGCCTTGTGCAATTTTAGAAACTCATATTTAAGCTTGTTTCACTCCACTGCAAAGTGAAGAAGAAGAAAAAGCAAGGTGAGGTGGGACCGCGCTTCTTCATCAGCTGAGCCACGGGAGAATGAGCCTAGTTCCTTTTTCCCTGTGGGCCCTGGGGCTCTATCTTGAGTCCTACAGGGAGTAAGTGCCTGAAAGGAAGGGCTGTGGCTGAGACTGGACAGATCAGCTCCTGTAGAAAGTGCGTTTATTTTTTGCTCTGGGCTTCAAGCTGGGCGTCTGATACCAGAGGCATATTCTCGGTCCACATGCAGACTGTGGAGGACAATGGGCTAAGGTTATCCAGATGTGATTGGGAGAAACAAGGTGGCAAACAGCCCACTTGAGTAGCTCATAGGAAATGGCTAAGCTTAAAGGGGACACTAAAGGTTGCCTTTTGCCTGTGGAAAGAGCTTCCCTCTTGAAGGGCAAGCAACATGTACTAGAAGCTCAGAGTGTCTGGCTGTGAGTCAGCTAGAATGGGGGTAAGGTGGAGGGTCCCTCCCTCCTAAACGGAAGGGCCCTGTGGGATCCAGTTCCCAGAAGCTCTCCAGGTGTGAAAGCTGGCATTCCCAGAATAGCTGGCAAACAACTCAGCTGTTTGGCACCTGACCTTTGACCCTGAATTCCTCACATAAAAGACTGTTTTCATGTTTCTCCTTGAAAAAGAAAATAAAAAAGAAGAAGAAAACAAAGGTTATGACAGGGTCAGATTCCTTCCCTGGAGAACTAAGTCACTGTATGTATGGTAGCGCCTTGACTCTTGCATACCTCTTTCTGGAATTACGAGACAGTGAAAACTTTACTCACATCATGCATCATTGGGATACTTGTTCTGATCTACTTCTTTTTTTTTTTTTTTTTTTTTTTGACAGGCAGAGTGGATAGTGAGAGAGAGAGACAGAGAGAAAGGTCTTCCTTTTGCCATTGGTTCACCCTCCAATGGCCGGTGCACTGCGCTGATCTGATGGCAGGAGCCAGGTGCTTCTCCTGGTCTCCCATGGGGTGCAGGGCCCAAGCACTTGGGCCATCCTCCACTGCACTCCCTGGCCACAGCAGAGAGCTGGCCTGGAAGAGGGGCAACCGGGACAGAATCTGGTGCCCCGACCAGGACTAGAACCGGGTGTGCCGGTGCCGCTAGGTGGAGGATTATCCTAGTGAGCCGCGGCGCCGGCCCTGATCTACTCCTTACATCTATGTAAATGCCCCAGAGGACAACAGTTCATTCGGTTATTTAAAACTCTCTAGGAGTGGGTGTTTGGCCTAGTAGCTAAGCCATGGGTTAAGGTGCTCGTGTCCCACTTTGCAGTACCTGGATTTGGTCCTTGGCTCCAGCTCCTGACTCCTGCTTCCTAGTAATGCAGGCCCTGGGAGGCAGTGGTGACAGCTCAAGCAGCTGGGCTCCTGCTGCCCATCTGGATTGAGTTCTTTGCTACTGGCTGCAGCCCTGTGACAGTCCTGGACATTTCAGGCATTTTTTTGTACTGAACAATAGTTGTTGGCTCTGCCTCTCAAATAAATGAATAAATAATATAAATTTTAAAGTCTCTCTGGAAGGCTCATTAGAATAAATGCTTAACATTTATTTTCATGAATAAAATGAAAATGAGCCATATGAACAGTAGAATGGCTTATATGTTATTAATAGTTAATAATTCAGAAATACAAACTGTGGTTATAGGTGAGTGAAGGAGGCAACTTGTTTTATGCTGTACTTTGATGAGGATCTAAAGGCTGCACCAGTAGAGGGTCTGTCTACCAAGTTACTGCCTGCTCTTGCTACCTGCTTAAAGTGTCCATTATCGGTATTCTCAGGCAATGATGAAGGTATCATATGAAAAACTATTTTTGGGGCCAGCATTGTGGCATATCAGGTTAAGCCTTTTTCCAATATGCCGGCATCTCATATGGGCGTCAGTTCAAAACCCACTGCTCCACTTTTGATCCAGCTCCCTGCTAGTGTGCCTGGGAAAGCAGCAGAGGATGGCCTAGGTCCTTGGGCCATTGCACCCATGTAGGAGACTTGGAAGAAGCTCCGGACTCCTGGCTTTCGCCTGGTCCAGTTCCAGCTGTTGCAGCCATTTGGGGAGTGAACCAGAGAATGGACGATCTCTCTCTCTCTGTCTCTCTCTGTCTCTTCTCTTTCTGTGACTCTGCCTTTCAGATGAATAAAAAATACAAACAAAACCATTGTTTAGAAGAGGATGTGGAGTTGGAGGAATTCTCCCCAATGGCTAGCAGGTGTGTGGATTGCAAGAGTGAATACATGAATGGACAATGGATATACCAGGTATAAAAGTAAAACTCTGACCTACAGTGTGCTGGGATTAGTCTAGGAATGCAAGCTACACCTCTGCAGCAATCAGCTACTGATGCTCACACTCCTAATCAATAACCACCACTTTCTCTAGCTTTTGCCCCTACTTCTGGACCAACCAGGGAAAGCCAAATGTGCTTTCCTGATGAGCCATCCTGCTTCCAGCGCTCCCAAGGGCCTCCGATCAGGGTGCACCTGATATCATCCCTTTTTCCCACCGTGACGCTTTCTCACTCTTCTGCCTGCCTTTGAGTCTCTGCCAAGTACAGGTGATGATGGCTGACCCCTCGCCCTTGCTATAGCAAGCTCTGAATAGGTAGCCTTTTCTCGTTCTCATGTGGGTGGTCTTAACTTATTCACACAATATTTGACGATTATAGTTACTAACGAGCTGGAGAATATGGCCTTGAGGGGGTGGGACACAGGACAGCTGAAGTTCAACTGCATGGAAGTGAGGGGGCACTCATAAAGAGTGGAGTTTGTCTGGGGCATGAGGACACCTGGACACCAGGTTGGGGAACCTTTGTAGTTGTGAGATGTGCCAGAGGAGGAAGAGACACTGAGAAGCAGATAAAACTATGTTGCAGTGTTACCCATAGGCAATGCTGACTGCTAAAAATAAGGACCCATTGTTTATATTTTCCACTAGTATACATGATCTCTTTTCTCTTTTTTTTTTATTTAATGAGCATAAATTTCCAAAGTACAGCTTATGGATTACAATAGCTTCCTCCCCCCCGGTAACTTCCCTCCCACCCACAACGCTCTCCTCTCCCACTCCCTCTCCCCTTCCCCTTATCACGATTAATTTTCAGTTATCTTTATATACAGAAGATGATCTATTTTCTCTTATAATGCCTCATTTGACCCTCATGAAATATTGTAAGGTAGTGTGAACAGATGTCTTGCACAAGTTTTGATTAAAATATCCCTGGCTGAGGACATCCACTTAGAGGAGTGAGGGCACCTGCACAGGGTCAGTAAGGAAGTGAGCAGCAGGACACAGGCACCTTGCTCTCCACTGTGCTCGCCACGCAGCCTGCTCCAGCATTGACCCAGCCCTGTTCTAACCATCGTTTCCTGTCTCCAAGCACCCCACAGAACCTCCTACCTTGATGTGTAGAGCAAATGACTGTTAGCTTCTGGCTGGCATCTCCAGACCTCCTTACAGGAATCAGAAGTTCCCCAATGTCCTCCTTTATTTTGTATTCCGCCTCTGGAATATAAACTGTCGATTCTGGAAAAGATGGGAGGAGGTTTCAGCGAGATTTGCATTGGATTGGTGACATTTTAGTGCACCTGACCAGAAATGTGCAGTCTTTGACCCCTCCACTTTCCAATATGATTTCCTGTATGAAATATAGTGAGAATAGGAAGTATTACTTATTGTTAAATGAGACTGGAATTGAGTTTAGGAGACCCCTTTGAAAGGCTAAGAGGAATAGCCAGCATTAAAATGCAAAGGAAAATCTTACAGCAACTTCATCTCTCTCTTTTTAAATTGAGGTCAAACTGTAGGTCTTCCAAGTAGAGATTAAATATTTTTCTCCAGATTTACATTTGCTCTCCATTTTAAAAAACACTTTAAATAAGCATGAAATTTAATTCATTAATAAAGAATAAAATTTTCCTGTTTTGTTAAATGAATAATTTATTTACCATTAAATTGAGTAGACACTTTGTAAGGCATTGTGCTGCCCATTTACATCAAGAAAAATAAGCCACAGTCCTTGCCCTCAATTTTTAAAATAATACTACCACTGAAATCTCCTGAGTTACATGTGTGTACACACCTGTACATGGATGGGTGTGTACAAACATGCATCTACACATCAACATATTCACTGAAATAGGAATATCACTCATTTCTTAATTTTACTGAAATTTTTAATATTTTATGAGGCTTTTCACCAAGTATGTATTGTGTGATTCAAATATGTGTGTGTTTGCTACCATCAAACATTCTTCACAAGGGTCCAGAGACTCCCCCTCATTTCCTCTCCTCTATGAAATCCCTCATTACCTGGTTAATGCCAATCTGAGGACCATTGGCTGCCATTCTCACCCTGTCTTTTATACTACAATGTCTGTATAAGTGTTTACAGGAGGTGATAACGGAACAAACCAAGGCCCTCAGCAACCAGGTGGTCAACCAAATGCTGCTACAGGGATATACTCGGCTCCTCACCCAGGAGACAGCGGCTTGAGACATCGCCCCCTCGTCGTCCCAAGTCAGCAGGAAGTAGCTCTAAAGACAGATCATCGTCCCTCTACCCCTCCTGGACTTTTGAGACTAATGTAATCCCATACAACTCCTGCTTTATAAAAAAACAAAAGGGGGGAATGTTAGTAAAATGGTACAGTCTTACCTATGGCGCGATCTACACCCTGACATCATCCTAGGCTCCAGCCCCCGGCCGCCAGTGCTGGAAGGCAGGTGGCCACATGGCCCAACCGCCAGTGTCAGCCCCACACCCATCCTAATGGGATTCGCTGCTCCTACTTCCCTGCCCACCCCTGGCAAAGTTTTAAAAGGACCTGTTCCTGAACACATGGTTTGCTCTCTCTTCCTCTCCGTCTCCTGATCTCTCTCTGTCTCTGTCTCTCTCTTATACTCTCCTTCTCCTTTTCCTTCTTTGCCCCTTCCCTCCAGTCTGTTGGATTTCCCCCAATAAACTCTTTCTCTAAAAAACAAACAAACAAAAAAAACCACAAATATTTCTGTTTGGGCGGGGGCTGTGGTGTAGTGGGCTGAATCTCCTTCTGTGACACCAGCATCCTTATGGGCACCAGTTCGGGTCCCGGAGGCTTCTCTTCCCATCCAGCTCTCTGCTGTGGCCTGGGGAAGCAGCAGAAGATGGCCTGATGCTTGGGTCCCTGCACCCACGTGGGAGACTTGGAAGAGGCTCCTGGCTCCTGACTTCGCATCAGCCCAGTTCTGACCACTGCAGCCATTTGGGAAGTGAACCATTGGATGGAGGACCTTTCTCTCTGTCTCTTCCTCTCTCTATATCTCTGCCTCTCAAATAAATAAAATTAAAAAAAAAAACTTAAAAACAATTTGTGTTTGCTAAAAACATAACATTTTAAAGTCCCTGATGTTCCACTTCTGATGTAGCTCTCTGCTGTGGCCTGAGAAAGCAATGGAAGATGGCCTAAGTCTTTGGGCCCATGCACTCACATGGGAGGCTTGGAAGAAGCTCCTGGCTCCTGGCTTCAGCCTGGCCCAGGTTGGGCTGTTGCAGCCATTTGGGGAGTGAATTAGTGGATGGAAGATTTCTCTCTCTCTCTTAAAATTTATTTATTTATTTGAAAGTCGAAGTTACACAAAAAGAGGAGAGGCAGAGAGAGAGAGAGAGAGAGAGAGAGGTCTTCCATCTGCTGGTTCACTCCCTAATTGGCCGCAACGGCTGGAGCTGTGCTGATCCGAAGCCAGGAGTCAGGAGCTTCTTCGGGGTCTCCCACACAGGTGCAGGAGCCCAAGGACTTGGGCCATCTTCTACTGCTTTCCCAGGCCATAGCAGAGAGCGGGATTGGAAGTGGAGCAGCCAGGACTTGAACTGTTGCCCATATGGGATGCCAGCACTGCAGGCAACAGCTTTATACACTATGCCACAGCGCTGTCTCCTCTCTCTTTCGAATAAATAAATAAATCTTTTTTAAAAAGGGCCACTCTGGTTGCAAGTTACGCACTTTCAGGTACTATATGAATTTTGTTCAACTACTGTGATAATCAATGTGTATTAGGTAAAATCCAACGATGAGTACAAAATTTCTCTTCAGGGAATAATCTCCTATTTCAACAAAGAGAGGTAGCAAACAACTGGTTGGAGTTTTGTTTTGTTTTTCTTAATTTCTCTGAATATTTGCTGAATGAATGACTACATAGAAAGAACTGATAAATTCAAGAATATGATACACTGTGGTAACAAAGCTTTGTGTAACACATGTTAAAACTAATTGAGTTTGCTGCCACCCGGTAGTCACATGCAGGACAATGGATCCCTAAGTCCCCACCTAATCTGGTGAGTTAGGCTGCAGGGACTCCCAGAGGCCATGAAAAGAAGGTAGGCGTGGAATGAGCTCTGAGGATTGGCCATCTGGGGGCAGAGCTGCTCCACAGCTATGGCTGCACGAAGTGTACAGTACTGACTCCTCTGCATGGTAAAGGAATCCCATAAAGAGTCTTTCTGTTTTCACCCCCCCCCATATACTTTTACAAAGATTCCCAAGTGTAAATGAAAAATAACTCTTTCATTTCATTTTAAATCCTAAATGGGTATGAACACATCTAGAGGCTTATAGAGCCTGAGGGAGGTATGAAAGCCTGAAACAGACCAATAGACCTGCACTGGCTAAAAAAAGCACAACATTGGGATCACATACCATCGCCAGGGTCTACGATTTCCACTGTTGCCGTTTCCGGAAACTCCAGGGCAGCCATGACAGGTCCCGACAGGATGATCTGGAACGTCTCGGAAGCCTCATATTCTCTGTCAGGTATAATTCTCACCCTCCATGCAGCTGCAGTCTGTCCAGGATGGAACTGGACCTGTTTATGGGTCTTTCCTTTAAAATCGTTATCTTTTTTTGCAGTGCCATCTCTAGTTCCAATGCCTGGGTAAAAATCAGGAAGTTACAAATAAAAAGCCAAGGGACTGAAATAATATTCTCCTTTCAAGGTGGTGTCTATCATTGATAACATAGAAATTGCTTCTTTTAATGCTCAGAAAATAATCCTTCTTGCCTAAACCAGGGGAAGTAAGCAGAAGTGAACAGAATTGAGAGACAAGCCTGGAAGGAGGAGTGACAGAAAAGAGAGCCATCATACATTTATTTATATTAGCAGATGTTTATCAAGAGCCCCAGATGTGCCAGTGAAGGGCTAATAATATCCACACCTCAACACTTTAAATCTCATTAAGAGGCTTAGATTCTGCAGGTTTTACTTTTGTGTGAAATAAAATATTATAAGCTGATACCAGCTATGGTGAAAGATTTTATATAAATGATATTAATATAATTACTTTAGCTCATTTTCAAATAATCTGAAACCTTGCAAAAGATAACCAATGTAAAGCCTGAAAATAATCTCTAAAGGAGAGCTAGTGTTGCCTTTGCAAAACTGCTAAAGCAAGCTGCATTCATGGTGGTCTGGTCACTGAGAGTGAAGGCGCAGTATCTCAGAAGCACCGTCTTTTGACCACATGATGAACGTGGAGAATAAAAGGAAGAGTGAGTGATGCCCTTCACCAAGGCATAGGCAGTGCTGTGTTGCACTGCTATAGGAATGAAGCAGGCAGGTGGCTCCCTCCTTATTTGCTGAACATCAGCTCTGTGCAAGAGGCTGAGGATGTCACAAGGAGTTAGGTACAGCTCCCCACTCCTTCAAGAGGTTTTTCTTTTTTCTTTTTAAAGATTGATTTATTTATTTGAAAGTCAGAGTTACACAGAGAAAGAAAGAGAGAGAGAGAGGTCTTCCATCTGATGGTTCACTCCCCAACTGGCCGCAAAGGCAGGAACTGTGCCATTCTGAAGCCAAGAGACAGGAGTTTCTTCCAGGTCTCCCACGCAGGTGCAGGGGCCCGAAGACCCGGGCCATCTTCCACTGCTTTCCCAGGCCACAGCAGAGAGCTGGATCAGAAGTGGAGCAGCCGGGACTAGAACCGGTGCCCATATGGGATGCTAGCGCTTCAGGCCAGGGTGTTAACCTACTGTGCCACAGCGCCGGCCCCTCAAGAGATTTTTCAATTGTGGGGAGACCAGCAGCTAAACAAATTGTTTCAATTCTGTTTGGTGATGTCATGGAACAATAATGGTGGTTACCACTTACTGAGTATCTACTATGTGCCAGAATCCATTCTAGATTAATTTAAAGCTATTATCACACAAAAAAACTGTAGCTCTTTTAAACTAAATAAAAAGTGGCACAAGGTATACATATATTGAAATATCACACTGTACTCCATAAATATATAAATTATTATGTGTAAATTAAAAAATCTGTATGAAATAAGTGGCAGGGAAGGAAGTCAAACTCCACAGTTGGTTTTTGTTTCTTTTTCCTTCTAGATCCTGTGCTTTCCTGGGGTGGGATGGGAGCATTAGGGGGACTTCCTAGAACATCCAAGCAAGCTGTTTCAGAGGTTCACTTCCATGGTGTTGATGTGGGTTTAGGTAGCCTGTTTTGGAACAGAAGGGCTGACTGTAATTCATTTAATCAGCGTTGAGTGTCTGCTCTACACTTCACTCTGTTCTTGAGATTTGTCGTAATGGAAGATGCATTTCCCGGCCTTTATGGAGCTGGAAATCTGGGCAAACAGACAGAAGACACTCACAGATGCATGCCAGGGAGGGTGTGTGCTGCGAGGAACCAAAAGGCAGGGTGCTGGTTTAGATAGGGAGGCTGCAGGGTGTATCTGAGGGGTTGGTTAATCTGCAATCATTCCTATGGTTCTGGGCAGATAGATTCCACACTCCTCCCTCCCCCCTTCCAATCCAGGAAATGAAAATACTCCTTGAAATGTTAACCGAAACTCACAAGAAGACTTCAAGATAAGAAGCTGTGGAGGCGGGGCCCTAAGAGAAAGGAGACCTAGTGCAGCTGCAGTTCCCACCAGCAAATTCCCCCATGGTGATGATGTGACCAGGGGTGTACACTGGGGGTAAGGGCACCCAGAAATCAGGGTGCTCTTTAGATGGACTAAGACAACTTCTATTGCAGAGGCCTCAGACTGGGAGAGGAGACTTGGGAACATTTACCTTTTCCTCATTGCCTGCTTTCTCCCCAGCCCATTCCCTTTCTGGATTCTCTCCAGGAGTTCTGATCAGCTGGCTGCATTCTGTGTGAGTTTCGCATATCTGAGAAACCCAGAATGCTCATTTGTAAAATGAAGATAATATAATCCTAACTGTCTTTTCAATAGCTTATGAAAATAAAGGCAAAGTGTTCTCAAAAGTGCTGGCAGCTAAAGATGCTATGAAAGCTTAGTGCATTATTAGATCAATAATAATTATTAATATTAATAATGAGATGTATGGTGTGTGCACTACATATGTGTTTAACCCAAGGAGAAATCATCTGTACTAGGTCCTTGTAGAACTCAGAATAATTAGACATGGCACATCCTCAAGGAAATTATAACCTCACATCAGGTAAAAACAATTATATATAATCAAAAGAAATAGTTATAACTAAAAACAATGCATCATATAATCATAAATAGTTCTTCAATGGGAATAACTAGAACAAATCAAAACAATCTATCAAATGCTCAAAAACAATTTTAAAGAACATTGAGTGACTTGGGATTGTGTCTTAATTTTCCTGAAGTTCTTTGTGTTGGAAAGGTGAAAAAAGAAGATAACCTTGCCAAAAAAAGAGGAAAACCGGAGAAGAAGCATTAAAAGTTGATAGGGACAGGCATTGTGATGCAGCGGGTTAAGCAGCTGCCTGGGACACCAGCATCCCGTAATGGAGTGCTGCTTTGAGTCCTGGAAACTGTGCTTGGCTTCAGATCCAGCTTCTTGCTAACGCACCTGGCAGGCAGCAAAAAATGCTTTTGGGTTCCTGCCACTCTTGGGGGAGACCCAAATGGAATTCCTGGCACCTGGCTTTGGCTTGGCCAAGTCCTGGATGTTGTAGGCATTTGGGGGATTCCTTTCTATCTCTCTCTCTCTCTGCCTTCCAAATAAATAAATCTTTAAAAAGTTGATAAATACCTAGACCTGTAACTTACATAGAGCAAAAATCACAGTGCAACTTCAGTCATGGATTTTTAGAGTTGGTCCCCAACCAGTAATTGCTTCTCTTTCAATTGATTTTAAGCCTCCAGTTTTGTGATTCTTTGGCAGTCTTATTACTTACTGATGAAAGATGTTTCTCCAAGATATCCTCTCCGTATGAGCGTCACCTCTATGAATTCAGAGTCTTCATCCACAATGTAGTATTCTTTCTCCAAAGAAATCCAAGCCCAGTTCAGATGAAAACGCTGATTTGTTAGTCTATTTCCTCCTGTAATTGGCAGCAGTAAATTGGAAGTCAGCCAAAGTATTTGATGGAAAATTAACGCTCAATGTGTGCATTATGTTTCTGGAGACTTTGCTTTTCTAGATAATGTCAAGAGCACCACCTTAGGTCCTATTCTCCTTATTTAATGTGGAGTCACACAGGTGCCTCCCATTCATAAAGGACCATATGCACCAGGGTTCCAAAGAGCTGGAGCTGGGTAGTTTGGGGTTCAGCTCATACGGACACCTGCATCCTTTCCCGTCTGCCTCCCTGCTCACATCCTCTGTCCCTGTCTTTCCTCCATTTCTTCCTCTGATCTGTGATCTACTCCTGTCACATTATTTGTCTATCAGTTTGCTCTCACATTAGTCTAAAAGTTCCTTTAAAGTAATGCCCACATTGTAGTCACTTATTTTATCAATATCAGTACCTCCTACGGTGCATGTTTAAAATTAGCCCAGTAGAGGGCAGCAGATAAGGCTATAAGGACCCTGATGTCTCCTCTGTCTACATCAAGTCACAGAGCTCTATGTGAATGGTCATCTTGGCTCCTTACTGGGGCTGTGTAAAACGTGTGTATTGGGAGAAAGAGCAGGACCCCGTCAGCTGTGGCATGATGGCTGCAAATAAAAGGATGCTGATCTAGGACTCTTTGGGCTGGTGTTGTGGCACGGCAGGTTAAGTGGCTGTGTGCGATGCTGGCATTCCACATTGGAGTACTAGTTAGAGTTCCAGCTGCTCTGTTTCCAATCCAGATTCCTACTAATGCACCTGGAAAGGCAGCAGAAGGTGGCCTAGGTACCCGGGCTCCTGCCACCCATGTCGGAGACCAGGATGGAGTCCCTGGCTCCTGGCAGGATGGAAGACTTCTCTCTCTCTCTTTGTCTCTGTCACTCTGATTCTCAAATAAATGAACCTTTTAAAAAAAAGAAGTGGGGGGGCTGGCACCGTGGCTCACTTGGTTAATCCTCCGCCTGCGGCGCCAGCATCCCATATGGGCGCCAGTTCTAGTCCCGACTACTCCTCTTCCAGTCCAGCTCTTTGCTGTGGTCCGGGGAAGGCAGTGGAGGATGGCCCAAGTACTTGGGCCCCTGCACTCGCATGGGAGACCTGGAGGAAGCACATGGCTCCTGGATTCGGATCGGCACAGTTCTGGCCATAGTGGCCATTTGGGGGGTGAACCAACAGAAGGAAGACCTTTATCTCTGTCTTTCTCTCTCACTGTCTAACTCTGCCTGTCAAACAAAAAATGAAAGAAAGAAGTGGGAGTCTATGACTGTCTCAGCTGAATATAGATATCAGATATCAAAGTAAGCATGAGACAGACAACCATACACAAAGTTTACTATAAAGGCTCTACTTTATCAGTTCCATAGCTAATGGACCCCTTAATCAGATCAAATATATCAAAAGGGAGATACTTTGCAGACAAGAAAGGAGAATGTCTGAAACAAGTATATTAGGAAAATCTATTGCCATGGTGGGAATCCCATCATCACTGAAGAAGGGCATAGGTTACAGTCTCTACCTCCAGTCTACAGAGCATGGGTTCCAATAAATCTCTTGGAGAGCTTGATATGTTCTTCTGTAGTTGGAGATCCATGTGACTTGATTCATTGTCAAAAAGAGTGTAGCCTTGGCAAGGTAGATGAGGGAGTGAAGATGGTTGCGTTGGGAAGTCATTGAGCAACCATAAAGAGTGGGAAAAAGAAAGCACACATGTGAACTGGGGTGGGTCCCAGCCCACCAGGGTCAGTTAAGGAGATAATGGGGCCTCAGCAGGAAGGAAGCTGGGAACTGACTACCAGATTCCCATGGGATACAGAGGCAGTACAAACAGGAGCTGCAGCCTGCATGGTAGTGCAGCAGATTAAGTTGCTGCCTGTGATATCAGCCTCCCATTTGAACACTAATTTGAGTCGCAGCTGCTCCACTTCTGATCCAGTTCCCTGACAATGTGCCTGGGAAGGCAGAGGGAGATGGCCCAAGTGCTTGGGCCGCTGCCACCCATGTGGGAGACCCAGATGGAGTTCTGGGTTCCTGGCTTTGGCGAGGAACAAACCTGGCCATTGGGACCATTTGCGGAGTGAACCAATGGGTGGAAAATTCTCTCTCTCTCTCTAACTCTTTCAAAACAAATAAATAAAGTAAAATTCCAAAATAAATGCATATGTTGATTTTCACGTGTTTACTTCACTATTTGTTTCCTCTCTTAACAGAGCATTGTTGATATTATTGTGGACATTCTAATAAATACAGAAAACTATAAAACAAATAAAAATACCAGAAATGTCATTAAAAATAACATTAATCTTGTTTCCAGTTTGAAACCACTTTAATCCTTCATGTAGGTAGTCTGTGGATTTTGAAATCACAAATCAAAATCATAGTTCATGTTTGCTTATTCTTTTGTGTTTTTTCAAAGTTCTTTCACAAGTCATTGTTTTTACAATCACATTAAAGAGTAGGTCAATCGTGAGTATCAATTTATAGCTAGACAGATTCAGGATGACAAAGTGACTTGACCAGGTCCACATAGGAATGTGATAGGGTCAGACAAGGCCCCAGTTCTGTGGACTCCTAGTTCCATGATCTGCTTTTGGCTACCATCTTCCACTCTGAGAAGTTGTGTATCAAATGCAACCCAAATACTGCAAAAAGAAACTGGGCCAAATGAATTGCAGATCAGGCCCTCTGAATCAAAACAAGCTTGGTAAAGAAGGCTCAACAGTTCAAGGCAGGAACATTTCACACTTCATGAGCATAGCTATTTGTAATTTGATGGTTGAATGGACTCAGGTTCAAATTCTAGCTTTGCCCCATATGAGCTATGTGATTGTGAACGAATCAAGGAGCATCAGCGTCCCCAACTATCAGTGTGCTGGGCTCCGTGGCAATATTGTGAGGATCAATGAAGACACTACTCCAAAAATACCCAGCACAAATTAGATGCTCATCATGGTTTTAAAAGCACAGGCTAGGGGCTGGTGCTGTGGCATAGTATGTTAAGCATCTGCTTGCAGTGCTGGCATCTCATATGGGCACTAGTTTGAGTCCCAGCTGCTCCACTTCCAATCCAGCTCCCTGTTTATGGCCTGAGAAAGCAGTGGAAGATGGTCCAAGTGTTTGGGCCCCTGAACATACCTGGGGCCCCTGCACCCACCTGGCTGTTGCAGCCATTTGAGGAGTGAACCAGTGGATGGAAGACCTCTCTCTCTGTGTCTCTCCCTCTGTCTGTAACTCTGCCTCTCAAGTAAATAAATAAATCTTTTTTTTTAAAAGCATTAGGCTATATTGTTTCTTGTGACTTCATTTTCACTACTGGCTGGTTAGTATGTACCTTTTAAAATCATGCATCTAGTGGGTAAAGCTGCTGTCTGCAATTCCCGTATCCCATTTGGGTGCTGGTTTGCGTCCTGGTTGTTCCACTTCTGATCCAGCTCCGTGCTAATGGCCTGGGAAAACAGTGGAAGATGGCCTAAGTACTTGGACCTCTGCTACCCATGTGGGAAACCTGGAAAAAGCTTCTGGCTCTTGGCTTTATTGTGGCCATCTGGGGAGTAAATCAGCAGATAGAAGATTCTCTCTCTCTCTCTCTCTTTCTCTCTTTCTCCCTTTCTCTCTCTGTAACTCTGACATTCAAACAACTAAATAAATCTAATGTGTGTGTATATTTATAATATACACACTTCTGTGACTAGCATCATCCTTTTTGGGCTATTCTCCACTTGTAGGCTGAACTCCACTTTTATTATAACATTTTGATTTTCAGAGAAGTTTGTTGTCACATTTAATGCTCATTTGCAATCTTCCTACTTTTTGTCCCCATACTTGAAAATAATTTTATTATTTATTTTACCATCATTTTAGTATGCTTGACCCTTGAGCAAGCTCAGAAATGTGAAAGTGTCACCCCCTTCAAACATGGACCCATCAGGCACTGTACCCTGCTATGCAAGGCAGTTTAATTCTTCCTGCAACCACATGCTGGCTATTAGGCACCGTATGAGTTCACTGCTAGAGAAATGAGAAAACTGAACATGGTCTGGAGTAAATGGGAAATAGTCTGTGTATCAAAACATTTAAAGGAAGGGTACAATAAACCAACCATAGCAGGAGGAAGAGGCTGGGAAGAATTTGCTTCCAGTTCTAGATAAATCCAAGAAGGTGAAGTTCATCTACATATATTTTAAAGCTGTGTTAATAAATATTGCTAAATAAAATTAAGCCCAGAATTAGAGAAATAAGAAACAAACTGATGAGGCTTTGGACTAGAGATACCAACGTGAGCTAAGTACTTATATCGGTAGAGTACTCACAAACACCCAAAACTGAGTATGGAAAGTCCAAATAACTAAGTAGTGATAGAGTAGTTCTCTCTCTCTTTCTCACTGTTGTTTTTGTGTTTCCTGACACTTGGACATGACTCTAAAAGATAAACAGAGAAATTAAGGTCTTCCTATTGCTGACGGGTCCCCCCGAAATGTTCACCACGGCTGGCGCGCTGCGGCCGGCGCACCGCGCTGATCCGATGGCAGGAGCCAGGTGCTTCTCCTGGTCTCCCATGGGGTGCAGGGCCCAAGCACTTGGGCCATCCTCCACTGTACTCCCTGGCCACAGCAGAGAGCTGGCCTGGAAGAGGGGCAACAGGGACAGAATCCGGCGCCCCGACAGGGATTAGAACCTGGTGTGCTGGTGCCACTAGGTGGAGGATTAGCCTATTGAGCTGTGGCGCCGGCCAGAGTAGTTCTCTTTAAGGAACTTTCTCTTTCCCTCTATATAGCAACCATTCAGAGATTAATGGCTCCCTGGTGAATTTTTTTAAAATATTTTTTTAAACTTTTATTTAGTAGATATAAATTTCCAAAGTACAGTTTATGGATTGCAATGGCTTTTCCCCCCCCATAACTTCCCACCCACCTGCAACCCTCCCATCTCCCACTCCCTCTCCCATCCCATTCACATCAAGATACATGTTCAATTATCTTTATATACAAAAGATC